GAAAAAAGACAAAGACTTAAGCCCATTGCAGCTTCCAATTAGTGATATCTGACCCATCCGTCTCAGGCGAGGGCTTGTCCTGTGTCCCCTTGAATCCGCCCCCCTCCTGAACGACGGGCCGATTGTAGAAACAGCCGTCAGCGAGGTGTGTGCGAGCCGCTGGGCTTCATTACTGAAAAGAGAAGGCTCTCTAATGAGTTTCTTAAAAAGAGTGGGAGTGCAGCCCCACACAGAATTGAAGTGAGAAGTGGGGTGCCTAATGTTCAGACCCCCCCCCCAGCCCACCGCCCGCGGTGGGATGTGTTGCCTTCCGCTGTTTTCTCCTTGGACGTGGAATTGTTGATTGAAAAGAAACGGAGCAGTCAGACGCTTTCAAGAGAATTGCATCCACTCAGCAAAGCAGTGCTTTCCTACGGCGTTTCCCCTGCTGTTCTTTGGTCGTCGGTGCTAAAAACAGAAGAAAAAGAGTAACTGGAAATGAGTTTTAAAAGAAAGTTCTACCACTTAATTTCCTTTACGCTTCGCTGACGCCCTCCTCCCTCTCGCAGTTGTAATCCGGCGTGTTTCATACGTAAAGGGACTCGTCGAGTTAACTGGTTTCTCCCTCTAAACCTGAGATTCAAGTTGCAAAGGTACATTAGCCACCGTCTTCGTTGTGTTTAGAAACTGGGAGGTAATTGCTAGTGGCCCTCTTAACTCTTAAAGACCAAAATAAAAAACCATTGAATTAGTATATTTCTTCGATCAGATTTAGTTAAGTTGAGTAACTTCAGATTTCCTAAGCTCTGCCCTGTGGGAAATCCAAAATACTGCCTGGCCGGTGTGGCTCAGTGGTTGAGCGTCGACCTATGAACCAGGAGGTCATGGTTCGAGTCCCAGTCGGGCACATGCCCGGGTTTCAGACTCAATCCACAGTAGGGGGCATGCAGGAGGCAGCCGATCCATGATTCTCTCTCATCATTGATGTTTTTATCTCTTTCTTCCTCTCTGAAATCAATTAAAATATATTTTTTAAAAATCCAGGAGTACTCTGGTAAGAATTTGAAACTAAAAATATCTGCGAGGGTGACCCTGGTTTAGGCTTCGTGAGCAGATGGTTGTTGTGAGCGTCACCTGGGGTGGCCGTGCGCGGGGAATTGTAGGAATGCGGAGGGAGGCAGCGCCAGCCCTGTGACTGGAAATCAGTCTGTCAGAATCTCTGGCTCTGGTTCAGGGTGTCCTGAGAGAAACTTCGGAATCTCTCCCTCTTGTCTCCGTGGTTATGCAACCCGGTTTCCTGCACTTTGCACGCCTCTCTCACTACGGGCGGAGACCACGTGTGCGAGTTCGGTCCGTGCCCAGCCTTCTCTTGCATTAGAGAGGATGTGCGTGGAGGCCATCCTGCCAGCAACTCCCCCCCTCCCCGCCCCAGGAGGGCAGAGGGAGGCGCGTGGGCTCTGACCAGGAGGGCACTTTCACTCCTTGCACGGAGCTGTGGTGTGTTTAGTTGTCTGAGCTGAGAGCAGGCTTTGGGGAGACTTGGACTGTTGTGTGTGTGTGTGTGGGGGGGGCGGGCGGTTTGAGCAACCTCGCCTCACATGCCAGTGTCGTCATCAGAGTCACTGTGACTGAACTGTGTGATTCTGTATCTGTGCGGGAGTCCGGAACATCGATGCCTTTAGAAACCGCTTTCTGACCATTGGAAGTGGTACTTGTTGGCGCCACCTATCGGCTAGACGTATAGCATGTGACCTTTTGGCTCACCTTTGGGGTTTTCTGATTATGAAACTATGCTCTTTTAGTCTTTGTTTTTAGTTAATTTGACTTGCAGAAATGTTGCAAGAATAGTGCAAAGAATTTCTGATTTCTCAACGGTGAACATTGTACTATATTTGTTTTATCCTTTTCTCTGTGTGTTTTTGTGTGTGTACACATATATATACACACACGTATGTATTCATCCTTTGCATATATATAAATATATAGGGTTTTTAAATAGTTTTTGTGTATATATGTATATTCTCTCTCTGTATAGCCATTTAATGTTACTGAGTTGTTATAATCTTTAAGAGTTGTATATACACACGTATGTACAAATCACACATACACGCATATCACACATACATGCACACATTCTCCGCCCTCAGGTGTCAGGCGTGACTCCTCTGTACTCTGCTCACCCCATCATGTAAGGACCACACTGCTCCATCGGCCACCTGGGCTGACCCCTCCTGTCTCTTCATGAGCCTGGCTCACGCCTGCACTCGGCTCTGCCCAGTGCTTCTGGCTGTGGCTCCACGGAGTCCCTTCCCAGCGGCGCCGGCTCCCTCAGCAGCACCCCGACCAGACGTCCTGATCAGAGACCCTGCCCTGACCTCCCATGGAAACCCCACACCTGAGCCCGGGCTCCCTGCTTCCCGCAGCCAGGATGCAGCCCCCAGCGTTCTCTCCGGCCAGGAGTTGGACTCAAATAACATATATGCTTCTAGTGTATTCACTTTATTTTTTAATAAAAAAATGTCTTTATTGATTTTTAGAGAGAGGAGAAGAGAGAGGGAGAGAAACAAAGACGTGAAAAAAGAACATCAGTTGGCTGCCTCCTGTATGCACCCCAGCCAGGGACCGAGCCTGCATCCCGGGCATGTGCCCTGACCGGGAATCGAACCACGGCCTTCTGGTTCATAGGGCAGCACTCAACCAGCGAGCCAGGCCAGCCGGGCAAGAATTACAACTGAATCTCAATAAGAACAGAGAGAGTTGGTGGCCCTTGTGCCACAATCCGCTTCCCCCTCCCACCGGCCCCCGCTCAGCATGATGGGAATTCTGCTCCAGGTGGGTGTGGCCAAGAGCTGGAGCTCTTCTCCCCTCAGCTGTCAGTCAGGGGTGCGGCCTCCCCAGCAGGTGAAGCCCGCCAACCTTGGTCATCGCTCAGCGCTGCGTGGCTGAATTCCTGGGAAAGGTGGCGGAGAGGCCGGGGCTCCCTTCTCCCACCCACCCCCACCCCAGGCAGGGACGGGCCTGGGCGCAGCCGGGCATCTCTGCAGATGTGGACAGCACGGTCACATGGCCACGGGAGCTGTGTCATGTGCTCTGTACACTGCACGCCTAACCATAACACGTGGTCAGTGTATTTATGACCGTTTCTCACTTTTTGCATTTCTGTCGCTATTCCCAGCTCTGTGT